CAGCAACCGCCATTGTTGCGCCAGCTGGTGCTGCCGCGAACCTCACACATGCTTCGTCAGCGCTCGCGTGCACTACGCGCACATAATGCATGTGCCCAAGCGCCGGGCGTTGCCTTCTTTGCCCCTCGCCCCCCGCCCGTCGACGCGCGTGCCACGGTGCGCGTCAGCACGTGTTCACCTTTGATTCCTCCGGCTTGGATGCCGCAGCCGCAGCCGCTCTCGCGCGCGCGCACGGCAACAGTTGGCGGGCTCGCTCGCTTGACAGCTCCTGGGACTGCCGCGGCGGGGCGGCGCAGAGGCAGGCTTTTGCATGTTTTGCCCATTTCCTGGCCGCGCGCGAGGCTCGGCCCCCGGGTCCCGCGCTCTCAAAGCAAAGGGCAGAAAGGCGTGGCGCTGTGGGGGACGGTAGTAGAGTCGAGCCTGCCAGGGCCCGCCCCCCCGGCTGCAGCGCCGCGCAGCCTCTTTCATGCGGCGGTGCAGGCACCGGCCCTGGCACACCACCGGCAGCATTGCACCTGAGTTGGACGGACCTGAGAAATCCCTGCAAACACCTATTGGCGAAGGCAGTGGATGTGCGCTCCTTGTGCGTCGCCCGCCCGACCCTTTTCATTAATCAGGGGCCGCGCCGGCCGCCGCGATGCTGCACGCCCACGGACCGAAATTACAAACCCCAAACGAACAATCCTTGCGCATGCGGGTACTCCAGCTGCGCACAACACACTTCATGGCACGAAAGAGACTTTGCGGGGGTTGAGTTGCTATTGCCATTGCCACTGCCACTCTCGCTCCTTGGACTTGCATGTATATACATCACCGGGGCAGCAGACTGCCATATGTATTGCTACAACGGTTGTAAAGCTGTCACCGCCTCCTCCATCCTGCAGTAGTGCGTCTTGTTCCACCAGCCTGCAGTAGTGCGTCTTGTTCCACCAGCCATGAATGCAGGAATTTCCCCATCACAGCCGCCTTGCACACCGGCCTTGACAACATCTACCCCGCTCGCATGCCAGCACGCACCGCCAGCACCACGTCTCTCCCGCCCACCTCGGCTTAGTATGCCGTGTGCACCTACGCAAGCGCTGCGACCCACGGGCCGATGCGACGCCTGCAGGCTGTGCTGGCGGGGGCTGCAGTGGCTGCCGTTTGCCCTTGACGTGACAGCTGCGCCGCTGCTGACTCACTGCGCTCCGCTGTTGCTGATCCAGGAATTGCAACGCTTCCAAGCCGTGCTGGCAGTGCCGATGAACAAGGGGTGTGGGGTGAGGGCGGCAGGGCTCGCACAGGCGGGGCGCTGGCATACGGGTGGACAAGCTGGCAGGTGGGGGCTGGGTGGCGGCGCGGGTTTGAGGGTGTCGAGATGGGAAATTTGGCAGAGGAAAATATAGAGCGCATGCTCAACTGAAGGAGCAATCGCGAGTTGATCTCCTTGCACCTGCGGGAGTCTGCTCTGTGGCCATCCCATGGGCGTCAGACTTCAGCTGTGGGTTGTGATGTTCCTTCCCATTCGCTGCAGGCTGACAGGTTCTGTGCCGTATGTTTGTCACGACCGCCTTGAAATCTCAGTTGGCAGTTGGATTGATTGCCGCATGCCAAGTTGCCTGGCGAATGATGCAGGCCAGTGGACCGGCGCCGTCACCAAGCAACAGTCACCAGGTGAACATGCAGCACAGCCCCTACACACCTGCTCACGCGAGCTCACGGAGATGTTGGCAAGTGTGCATTCCAGCGGCCTGAGCATGCAGTACGGTACGTGTAACAATACATCGGTAGCAATTTCACGATCTGCGTGTTTGACCTCAATTGCTGCCGTAAGAACGCGATTTCTGCTGGTGAACGAATCGCTGATGTACTCTGCGTTCAGTGCGCCTTTGGTGGCAGCGGCGCGGCCGCGATTGTGCAGCGCCTGTCGAAGCGCTGCAAGTGGCTTCGTTCGAGGTGGCCAGTGCCGCCCTTCAGGGCGAGCACACGCGCAGCCACAAGACGCTTCGGAAAGCAGCCTGCAAGCGACAAAAGAACAGCAGCTGCCGCAGCAGCGGCAGGAGCAGCAAGGCGCGGCAAATCAGCCGCAGGAACCGGATCCAGCCCCGGCCCTGTCGCCAGAGCCGCAGCCGGCGCGCGACCGCACCATACCAATCGCAGTAGGGATCGCTGTGCTGGCCTATATCAGCGTCGCAGCCTTGGCGTGGTGGGACGCATACGGCCCGGAGTGACATCACTGCTGATGATGTGGACGTGCTAGTGACAATCGATGTAACGCTCATCCTGGTTAGCTTTGTGGTTTGCTACCCCTCATGTGTCGAGCACCCGGGTGTTGGACCAGCAAATGCTGTGGGGGCGCAGCAGGTGGCGCGGGTGAGCAAAGGCCTGCCCAGCCGACACGCAGCGGCCTGTGACCCCGAAATCAACGAACACAGGCAGGGAAGGAGGGGGTGGCCAGACCTGCTCATGCAGGGCAGGATGTTACAAGGTCGCACAGCCGCGGGTCAAACAAGACGCAACTCCGACGGCCGGCGCTGCAATGTGTTGTGTGCGTGTGCCCGCCGCCCCGTGCTGCGCCACGCGGTGGGCGCGACGCGGCGGAGCGGGGGCGTGCGGCACGACGCGAACTTTGGGGGGCGGGGCGCGGCGCCGTGCAGTGCCCGCGCAGGGATGCCCTGTGGCGCTGGCGTTGGGTGACAGGCCCGGCTCCCCCCTTTTTTCAAGTTCGTGCACGAAGACAAGAATACAAGCCCGGACGAGTGCATATGCCCATGCGGCTGCCCCACCTCTGTGGGGGGCCCTGAGGCGCAGAGCATCGGCCCCCAACACCACCCGCCGCCTGCCCCCGCAAGCTCAGGCAACGGCCCCCGCGCACGGTGCTCACGCGGCCGCAACTGCCACCGATAACACGCACAAACAGAACGATATCACGCCACTGGGACGCCCCGCGCCCTGCGCACGCCGGGCCGCTCGCCCCCCGCGCCGCAGCAGACCGCAAGCAGCGCTGCTGCAGCGTCCCAACGAGCGGATTGCGTCGCGCTCCAGCTGCGCCGCGAGCCGCGTGGGCCCACCCGAGGGGCGGTGGGACGGGGCGCCCGGCGGCCGGGCGCTGTGGCCCGCGGTGGTCTCCTCATGCGTTGTAGTTGCCGGTGGTGATGGAGTCGGAGCTGGAGAAGTTGGGGTCCCAGAGGGAGTGGTGCCAGGCGTCACCGGTGTCGTCGCGCTGGTAGGTGTGGGAC